CAATTGAACACTTTCCAAAAGCATGACTTATGATTTACATAGTGCCTATTAGTAGCTGTTTCCGTTTTTGGCTTCCCTCCCCCTTCCTATGAACTTCACTTTCCAAGAATTTTTAAGAATATATACGTGTGAATTTGAAAAGAAGCTGGAGAAATTAAAAAGCCTTCTTACAAATTCTTTCATCAGATGAACCAAAAAAGAAAAAAAGGAAAAGAAAACCAAAAAAAAAGGAAGTTGAATTTGAACGTTTTCCTTGAAACGATTCATCATATCCGTTTGCTCAGAATTCATTTCTTCGATGAACACAAGCATCTCTTGTAAGACGACGACTTTCCTGCAAAACCGCTGATGACGGCGGGACCATCATCGTCGTCCTCGGGCAAAACATGAGAACGACAAAAGCTGTTAAAGGCATTTTTCTGTTGATTGTGGGGTGACTTTCAAAATTTGGTTTTCTTTTGTTTGTCGAGTGTGTGCATTGCTTTCCTTAGCCAATGAGAGCATCCAGAATCGCTTGTTCAGAACAAGAAAGTGATTCAATGTCTCTCATTCTCTCAACATTGGCTCAGCACATACATTCTCATGTTTTATTGGAACAACACGGCATTTTCCGGATTCGGAAAACTGACCAAAATAGGTTTTGTTGCAAATAAACTGGCCATCTATCGTCATCCTCGTCAAAAAAAGAAAGCAAAGCATACGGAAGCTGAAGATGAACGTATTCTCGTGTCTCATTTAAGTTCATTCTGATCAGCCAGCACAATTGTTTGAGAAGTTAAAACAGAAATTGAGGGGCTCACACATGAGCAATTACTCATCTTATGCACATATCAATATGATTCATTCCGATTTCTGCTGTTCATTGAGCTCAATCACATCTTCACCACCACAGTAATGATCAGGACATATTGCGTACACATCGACGTGCAGTATAGTTCAAACACAACGAATGATTAGCAGAATATGAGCCTTTTACGGATTTGTTATGATATTTTCAGTACAATCGTTGTACTTTTCTGTATAAATTCACGTAACATGTCCTCATGTGTTTCGTTGTTAACCTGCTTAAATCAGAAAAAAAAATATTAAATTTTCATTTCTGATTCTTAAGCCCGTCCAACTGCTGTAAACAAAACTTAAACTTTGTCAAGCCGGACGATTGCAATCGTCAAAAAACTAATCTGAAAATCTGAACTCGTCTTTGATTTGTAACTTCTTCCAATACACAACTATCTGCGCTGCAGAACGTATCCATGCCACATGAGCTTCAAAATCAACATTTCCGTTTTCCAGACTATTTTCAAAGCGAAAATATGTTAATTGTCACCTCATTTTCACAATTAAAAACGTTTCATTCCTATCATAGTTGAAGGGGCTATTTTGGGAGAGACGAAAACAAAGCCTTTTGCTACATCTGAGAATTTCCTATAGAAAGTACTTTGCCAAACATTTATGTTGACAGTCAGCATGAGATGATGTTAAGAGAAAACTAAAAACTTGAAAATGTGAGATTTTCACGTAAAACCTATCGAGATTCAACTCAAATACGTAGTTTGTGACATCAGCAAAATTGCTGGTTTTCTCTTTTGCTACCGCATTTTAACTCACATTTTCTCTCTCTCTATGCCTCTCTCTCACCTTTTCGACTCACGACCACAAAAGTTTTGATGAAGCCAAAGCTGTTTGATTCAAGTGACAAGTTGCCCCTCAAAACGTTGTTCTTGTGAGAAAAAAAAGACGGCAGTGACGAAAAAACATTAATAATCGTTTCCTATTTGACCTCCCACATACATATGTATTGTCAGAAATGTTGTTATGATATTAGAAATCTCAGAATATTTAGGGGAAGTGAACGTCTTTTGAACTTTTCTCAATCATTTTCCTTTTTTTTCTCTTGACACATTCAAATGCAAGGAACATGTGGAAGACTTCATTCATGTTCAGCTTAGCTTCATCTTTCATATTCACAAAACCGATCTGTCAGTCAAAAACAGCAGACTAGCAAGTAAATGATAAGAGAAGGTCATATTGATGAGATATGACATTGATCATGTTGATTAACAGAAACTTTCCAACTGATTACAACTGGATGCAAATAAAACAAGACAATTTGTTGTCTTTGCTACTAGTCCCACTTGCTTGCAATGGGATAAGTATGAGAAGTCATAAATGATTATCGACCATCATGTTTTTCTAAGAAATTCTTCACGTGGGCAGAAATGTTTAGCACATCTTGCAATCTTGAGCAAACATTATCAAAAAAACCTGATTAGAACAGAGCAAATGTAAATTTTCAAGTTTCTACTTTGTCATTTTGTATGAATAAATATCAAATAATAAGTTCGCCTGATGGAATGGCGAGGGGTTTTCGAATTTCTTCGACATTTTCATTTCTTCTGACAATCACACTCTTCTATTCCCTTAATTGTTATATCGGCCTTCGCCTTTTGATTTTCCGAGAACTAATTCTTTCTAATTTGCAGATCAAGTTCAATCATCAAAACCATGCCTTGCCCAGATTTACGAAGAACGTAAGAAGCAACGACAACGGTAAGCTAACTGTCATAATTTGAAAACAACCTGATCGCCCAAGTTACGAGAGACTGTGTGAGAGGAAGAGCGTCAATTTCCATTTATAAACTTTTCTCCCCAACAGTAAATAGAACATATTTCATGCAGTTGTTCACAAACACTTGAATTAATGTTTCTATTATGCAAATGAATACGTCACGTGTATCACCACGTTGCAACGTCAATGCAACGCAAATCATTTGTGTTGCAAAGCAGACAGTAGAGCGGTTGTGTCGCGTGTAGATTAGGGTTCAATTCGTAGATGAACACTAAGTGATCACTAGCATTCCGCAAGCAAGTGATTATCTCGAGAATTAATGATTAATACTTTGATAAAACTTGGAGGGAGACAGTGGGATGAGACAGTAAAAAAGATAAAATTTTGCAATTTTCCTTTTTCACCTCAGAATTAGTCACGTGGACTCTGAGGCATAAAAAAAAGGAGATTTGAATTTCAATCAGCTGAGTTTACCCTAAAACTGTTCTTTGGTTTACATACTGACCTTGCTATCAATATTGAATCACTAAATAGTTATTTCCGCCTCGTCAACAGCCTAAAATAATAAAATGGAAAACTTAATCATAATCACAATCTTTTCAGTTCTTCTCTATCATCTCATTTGTCACACATCGAGCCTATGCCTACGATTCAAGAGGAAGATGAGGACAACCTTTTCGTGGTCGAGGATGTTGTCCACGTTTAAGCTCTCTTGTTTGCTCATCTCCTGGACTCCTAGCACTATAGAAAAACTTGTAAATGTTTGGAAACTTCTTTCATGTCGTCGTCGTTCACTAGTCATCAACAGTTTATACTTGTTGTAGCCCAGTTTTACTTGTCATTGCTTGAGATTCCTTGATGACGAGAACACGACTGACCATCTTATGGATTTCTTACACAGAAGCCCAAAAAAGGCAATGACAGTCTGTTTATACCTTCCAATGTATCAAATATGTGAATATATTCCCCTTTTCTTATGGATCTGATCACTTCGAGAAGTGAATAGTCGGCCGGGTTTTGCTTAGTGAGCATTCAGAATAACTCGTGTCTAAATAATATTTCTTCAATCCTAGCTAGTCAGAAGAATATCCCAAACTTCCAATATTCAACTAGACTCGAATTCACCAACGGTGAAGGTAGAGTTGGTTCCAAATTGTGAGAATGACCATGATTTTTATATTTATTGTATCGGGTTCCGCTGGTTTTCTAGTTGTTCTACTTTTGCTTTGTACACATACGGGTAAAATCATTGTTGTTTCTATAAAATATGCAAAATATGTTTAATAAATAAAGAATTTATATATAAAGACTAATATATTATCACAATTGCTTAAAAGAATTTGGAAATGACTACAAGACACATTGAAAACATATACTATGATACCAATATTTGTTCGAAATAAGTAAGTCTAAAGCATTTCTCACTCTTTCCTGTTTTCGGAGGAGAAGAATGAAAAATTCTAGTAAAATACACAACTGATGGTGTGAGAAGGCAAGTAGATACTTCTACATAAGCAAAGTGATAGGCATTTCTCCTTATCCAAAAAGAAATTCGTGGTTAACAGTAAAACTCAGTAAAATCCGTTTGTACAAAGAAAAATAGGGATGACCCGTGAACCGACAATACCTAAAAAGAGAGATTTGTGAAAGGCTTAGCAATTGCGGAAGTCCATCATTCAAACACCTCATGCAGACTTCATTCAGCAAACTGTTTGCCAAAATATTTCAATTTACTCAGAAAGGACATTTGAATGTATCAATTGGGAGGGGCGCGTAAATATCTTCTACAACATATTCCATGTTTCAAGTGAAGAACCAAGAAACATGAAAACTCAATGAGTAAACATACTCTGAAGGATTAATAACTTCACTTTCAACAGAACTTTGCTCTAGTAAATCAAGAAAACATCCTTTGTTCACTTATGAATACAGTTAATCTCTTCAACTACCAGTTCTCCATAAAATTCGAAATAATCAAAAGGGGGACCCTGGTGCTATTGCAATTTCCCACACTGACTAAAGTTGAAGAAAGAAAAGACGACGTCGTCCCAATATCGAACTTAATCGAATTTCTCAAGAGCCACAACTATTTTTGACCGAGAAAAAAACGGAATATCAGATCTTTTGGGCAATTAAAAATCGCGACAGGCGTTGTGAGAACTTCTCGTGAAGGGACTACAAAAAACATCCCAAAATGAGGAAGTGTTTGAAGGGAGCGACTAGATTAAAATTGCAAAAACTCGTACCATCAAGGACTTTTACTGACGATGCAAAGTGGTTGTTCAAGATAATCGGCGAGGGTTTGTAACTTTCTACGAATCAAACCCAAATTAGCGTTAGGAGTTGCCTGGAAATTAAGGGGGAATGAAAATATTTGTGTATCCTCGGTTACTTTTAAAGCGATAAGCATATTAGAAACTTTGGTACAAGCAAGAATGCCATCTTCTAAGGTGAGTACAGCTTCTCGCAGTTCATCTTTGCCTGAAAAAAGAAACATTGTTCTTTGAATCGTGGATAAACCTTTACGATCAAACGAATCCCAAATGCTTGAGATAAGAGCGGCAGTTACATTAGAGGCATCTTTGCCTTCTTTGTCTCCACTGTAGGCGAGGAGCAATCCTGAAATATTAGTGGTAATTTGTATAGATCGAGAATGAAACCTTCTCGGTTGAAAAGAAGAGTTCCAGTTACTTCAGCGGTATTAACCTGTCCTAAGACCCCAACTAAAGCTTTCTGCCGAAGCATCTGAAGCGAGAGTATGAAAAAACATTTTGTAAACTTGGATAAGTATTGTAGCGGCACAGGACCACTATAGGAATTACGCAAAAGATAGCAGAGTTAGGATAGTTTGAAACTCGTAGAAATGATGATCATAGACAACAACCATGTACAAAACATAAACGAAACAATACAAAAGTAATAATAAATGAGATTCAAGTCCTATTCGGTCCATCTATGACCACAAGATGTGTTCATACACACATAATATAATCGCATTTCTTCCTAAAACATGGACTCTCATAATTTGCTGGCAAGCAAACGTTTACCTCTGCGCGTCTTGTTTGGGCTTGGAAGAACACAGCCAAGTTGTGATTGCATTTGGGACATGGATGGTCTTCCGTTTTTGGTAATGTTGGATCATAGACTACATCAGCGCATATCTGAGTTAATTCACTGAAAATTGTGGAACGTTCGTTAGTTCTTCAACTTCTCCTTACTCGACTTCGTGCATTAATTTATTGACATAAATACAAGGATTTTCTGCTAGTTGCTTATGTTCGCAATTTCTGAAAACAAAGGTTGAGCATACGTTGGATAGTTGGACGTTACGAACCTACAAGAATACATAAGCTGTCTATGTTCTTTATCTTCTCTTGGGTAAAGCATGTTGTTGCTGAAATTGAAAACTACGATAGTGCATTGCTAACAACTGACCATTCTGGACAGAATTTGATTCCAACGAACCCTTGGTTACTCATTGATGTTCCTGCAAACAGTTTTTTGAAAAGAGTTATGAAACTGAGGTAATAAAAGGTAATACAAGCAATTAGTATAATACAATATTTAAATGTATATTGTCACATTAAATTTCAGTTGTTAGCAATTGCGTAGGTGACAACAACCATTTTTCGTTGCACGTCTACTTTCCATTGGAGCGTTCTTGGGCAAAAAATCGTGTCATTTGCCTATTCCATCTTCCAACTTTCCAGGAAGGTTTACGGATAACTTCCAAAAGCCACAATTGGTTTCAAGTTCTGAGAATCAACTTCAGTTGATCGAAGTTGAGTTTCAAAAATTGAATACAAATGTTAGAAAACGCCACTGATTCTCAGTGTTCTCTCTGTTTTTTCGTTATTGAGCATGATCTCAAGCCTAACTTCCATAAAAAGCAAGTAATAAACGCAACTAATGAACAAGAATGCTCTCGAGTTCTGTTGTAGAATCGCTGTTGAAAGGTTCTAGGAGCTCTTTATCAATCAAAACCACTTCATCATCAGACTTTTCCTCACAATCCTCTGACACCTTCGGCAACCTATATCAACTTCGAAGTTGACTTCCAAAAATTTCAGAACAATTATTTCTTCCAACTGCAATCGCGCACAAGTGTAGTGACGCTAGTCTAATCTTGGTATTGAGAAAAACATTTCTCAGTTTTGCGATAACAACATGACATTCAGGTAGAGCTCGAAAACAGTTTCTTGCTCTTCTTTCGTTTAGTTAAGCTGTTTCTGAACTAAGATTCTCCTAGTAACCATCAGTCTCCCCTCACTTCATACTATTGCAAACACGAGCTACGTATGATTATGTAATAATGCAGCTTGGTTTATCTTTTCAAGTAAACAGCCATAACAAAAACATTTTGAATGACATTCAGTTTATTTTTTCGCTTACTCAGCTGCTCCAAGTTAGTTCCCTGACAATCCAGCGCTTCCTTTAATCACGACCAGATTGTTTTCTATTCTTCTTAATAGCACTTTTTTTATTGTTTTTCACAAAAATTCAATACTGAGATTTATAATGCGCGCCAGGCTCGGGCGGTAATAAGCAGTACAACCGTTCTCAGCGCTTTTCCAACGAAAAATGAAAATAATCATTATCCACGTGGCATCGTCCGGGTGTTAATCTTTTGTTTCAGTGCAAGCTTGTCTTGAACAAAAATTCAGTCGAGAGTAAATCATTTAATAGAGAGGTTTCAAAACATGAGTAGAGCTATACCATTGGATATATATAAGGCATGAAGGGTTAAATGAAAAAGGCAACATTGACGAGGTTACAAATCATATGAAAAGCAATTAAACATGGTTCGCACTCTACTCATCAGAAGAATTCTTCCAAATCAATAAAAACAAAATTTTTGTACACACCCTAACTGCGAATCCCATTATTTACAATACGGTTAGTCCTTATTAAAAAATCACAGCACTCTGTCATTAAATTAGAGAAACAGTTGGAAGTTCCTTCCTTAGTAGGAATATAAAGTTATTATTTTCAAGGGAATGGATAAAATGTTCAAATACCATGATTCGAAACAAATTAAAGCGCTCAAGACATTTGGTAGCTGATTACTCATCCCAATCAACCCAACCATCCTCTTTCTTCCCTGAGTCAGGATTTGTTGGCTTTGGGGTGACTGGTCCGGCATCAGTTTCTTCCGAGTTATTAGCCAGCTGCAATAATATTTTCAATTAACAGTTTCGTGTTTTCTATCCCACTTCATCATTTTTTTCACTGCACATACTCCAGTCATCGGATTTATCAGGACTGGTGGGTTCCTCCACAATGGCCATCGATCCATCGGATCCAGGAGAATCGTTCTTTTCAATAACATTCTTTCCTGAATGACAGAAAGGTCACGAAGTGCGAAAAAAGGGAACACCTTTGGAATCGGTCTTAACATTGAGCTCCTTGAGCGTAAAGGTCGAATTCATTTCATTATCAACTTCGGCCATCTCTACGGCGAAGAAGTACCGCGTCCAGAATATGTCAGCCTTAATCACAGCAGGCACCTAAAATTTTTTTTTCAAAATTACCGAAATAGAAGAACACTGACCAGACTGGAATAAATTTGTCTCATTGGTGGGTAGTTGGACAAGAGACTGTTGATTTCTCCATCGTATTCACTCTTATTAAAACGAGTTAGCCAAGATTCAAAAGCCTACAGAACAGTCAAACATGAAGAAAATAAAAAAAAAGAAAAAACCTCTTTATTAGAAGGTTCTTCCAAATAAGTACCCTCGTTTGTTTGAATTTCCTGCAGTTTTATCTGACTTATTTTGGTATTTCGCATAACTCGAGGTTTAATTTGTTCGGTGAAGGCTTCTTCGCCCTTCATGCTTTCTTCAACACCCAAGTTTTTGACAGTATCCGTCACGGTATCCACCAGAGATTTCATCCAACCGAAACCCATCGACGCACTTTTCTCTACCTGAAGAGAAATGAATTAAGAGGAAAACCTGTGATAATCACCTTGGATATTATGTCTTCCTTAGGATCGTTTTCTACATTCTCCTCTTGAACTTCTTCAGCAAAATCTTTTTCTTCATCTTCAGGGGTTACTAAACGTTCCAAATACTGAGCTTGCTGTTTGACGACAGTTACAGTACTGTCCAATCCTGAACATATGCATGAGAAATTGAATAGTTCAGGATGAACAACCTCCTTTTGCCGCAGAAGTTAACCCAGCAACTTCTGTTGACATTGCTTCTGAGAACTCACTCAGATCTTTCTTGACCATATCGAAAGTTTTCATGGTCTAGAAAGACGTTTGTTAGCGATTCTCCAAGCACCATACCTTCTCTCGAGCAGTCGTCAGCCACGAACTTCCGGCGTTCAGCCAGTTTGAAGCACCAGGGAATAACTCTATGGCTGGATCATCTTCGGTTTTAACGGGAGTCTCTGCTTCCTTCAATTCCGAAATAGGTTCAGCAGTTACCCTGTCGTCTTTTACAGTTTCGTCACTCATAATTTTCTGCAAAGTGGACGATTCAGTTCAATGAACTCACGTGGTATGTATGTGAGAGTACATTAATTGAATATAAAAAGAGAAGAAAAAGACAGATCCACAACTGATAATCAGCACAGATTAGATTCAGAATTTTATATACAATCAGGAGAAAAATAAAAGTGAATGAAATTCAGAAAAACAAGGGGTTCAAAATATGCTTTTATATCTACGATAAAGGGCTTTCGCTGCCTTAAAACGTGATCGTCCACGATGTTTTACGTACACGCGCTTTTGCGTACTTTAAAATTTTATTAATTCAAGCTTTTGCGCAAGCCAAATTCGGCTATAACTACTCTTGGCTCTCAAGAGTTTGAGAAGCAAATTACAACTTGAAAATTTTGAAAATTCCATTTGCAGAATGTGTGAAACTAAGGAGGTTTCTCCAGACTCGATCAATGTGGATAATAGAAGAGCTCATGCTTATTTGAAAGGCTGCGAAGTCAAAGAAGTGCTTGGCTCTGATTCTGGTAGAAAAGTACGTTTCCACTTTTCTGAATAAGTCATGTTCTATTATAGGCAATATTTTTGCTTTTGGAAAAAGAAAACGAAGGACAAGCAGTTCTGATAATGGACAAAACGGCTTTCAGCGAGACACAGGGTGATATCACTCGACTCGTGCACAACTTGGAGTTGACTGATAACTCTAAGAATGATATATTTGCTAATTACTCAGGGACTGTTCCCACAGACTTGAATAGTTAATGAGGCCGTGTCTACTCTTTTCTGACCTCCTGAGTTTCAGTACTCAGAACTCAACTGATTCATCCCGCAACTCCGACTTTAATAGCCAAGTATCGCGTTGAGGAAAAGTATATCATCGAAGAAACACCAGATGATCATGAAAAAATTACCAAAGTTTACATCGAAAAGTTCCAAAACAGTCTGCAGGTTCTCACGTTTCGACTCCACTAACTCTCTTCTACTTTCCAGTGGGTTTATAATATATTGGAAAAAAAGGCGGAAGTAGACAAAATGGTTTTTGAGGACCCTGATCCACAAAATGGCTTCGTACTTTCTCAAGATATTAAATGGGATGGCAAGAGGATCGAAAATCTTTATTTGTTGGCCATCGTAAATCGTCATGGCATTAAGACTATAAGGTTTGTCTGCTGCAAACGAATACTCTAACATAATGAAATCTAAGGGATTTGACTGGTGATGACGTGCCAATGTTAAAAGGAATAAAAGAAAAATGTCTTGAAGTAATCAATCAGAAGTTCGGATTACGAAAGGATCAGGTTAAAGCCTATTTCCATTACCAACCTTCATTCTATCATTTGCATGTACACTTTATTAAGTAAGTTAACTGTTAAGTTTCATCATTGATTTCTTTTTTTAGTTTGAAATATGACGCTCCCGCATCTACAACACTCAGTGCCATTTTGCTTGATGATGTCATCAATAACCTGACAATCGTTCCTGATTTCTATCAGAAGGCTACTCTGAGCTTTACTAGAAAGAAATCCGACAAGTTACTTAACTTATTCCGAGAGGCAGGACGTATGACTCTTTGAATTTATTTATTTCGTAAAGATAAACTTGATTCTCACTCGTTTTTTGTTTGAAATTTGATTCGTAACCAGAATTTCACTGACTACTTTATTAATTGAAGTTCAATTTTAACTCATTTTGAACAGATGAGACCATTGCTCATCGTATACGGAAGTGAAACGGGCACAGCTCAAGACACTGCAGAAACTCTCCGAAGAGAAGCTATTCTACAGGGTTTGCCTGTCAAGTTACTGGGTCTAGATGAATACGACTTTGATGTGCGTTTCTTAAAGCAGAGCCTGAATTTTCTGATTCCTTAAGGAATTGGTTGATGAAAATGTCTTAGTTTTTGTTGTTGCTACTACGGGGCAGGGAGAAGTACCCCCTAACATGAGGAACTTTTGGAAAAAGCTGCTTAGGAAATCCTTACCGAACACGTTGCTAGAGAATGTATTTATCAGTTCAATCATGTTGCAGACATATAAAACATTTAGAAATCTGTTGCAGTATTCGGCTTGGGTGACTCATCTTATCAGAAATATAACTTTGCTGGGAAGAAGCTGTATCGTCGTCTTATTCAATTAGGAACAAACATTCTTCTGCCACTAGGGTTAGGTGATGATCAGCACGAGTTAGGAATAGATGGAGCCTTGATTCCTTGGAAACAAACTCTTTGGAAACAAATCTACGAAAGAAACTTCTTCAAGGCAAGCTAATCTTCAAATTTTGGAGTTTCAGACCCATTTAAGGATGTTATGAAAGATGGTTTTGACCCATCCATTTCCATTCCTCCTCGCTTTGTGTTGTCAGATACTGATAATGGAAGTCAGGAATCGAAATCAAATGACGAATATCACGAGTTATACGTCTTGAAAAACGAAAGAGTTACCGCTTCTGATCATTTCCAAGTAAATATTAATATAGTATAGCTCTATTTACTCTTTGCTTAGGACACTAGACTCATTCAATTCGGGATCCCAGATGACGTGTCAAGCGAGTTTAGGTAAATTTGCATTTGGTATGTTGCAAGTTAGTTGTCTAGGTATGAACCAGGAGATGTTCTTATGGTTCGACCTTATAACCATCCCGAGACTATCGAAATTGCTGTAAATGCCATGGGGTTCACGGATGATGTACTGGACAAAGAGTTTTATCTGCGAGCCAACAATGATCCATTCGCTCGCTTACCTCCGACTTGGCTGATTGGAAGTATAAGGTGTCTGTAGTCAAACAAGAGTACTTGCTCAAATTCCAGAAAAAACAACTTTGCGCATTTGTCTTACACGGTTGTTTGATTTGCAAACTATACCAAAAAAATCTTTCTTTGAAACATTGGGAAGTATATCGTGTGATGACATGGAGAAAGAACGTCTCCTGGAGTTAGGAAGTCCACAAGGGCTTGTTAGTTGTGAAATTGATTTTTCATTTTCAATTCTAGAACTTCAGGACGATCTTCTCGATTATTGTGTCAGATGCCGACGAACAGTAGCAGAAACTCTTCAAGACTTCCCTAAAACCGCTAAAAACATATCACCGGATCGGCTTTTCGATATTTTTTCTTATATAAGACCCCGGGCATTCAGTATTGCTTCAAACGAAAGATGCCATCCAAAGCGTGTAGAACTTTTAGTTGCAAAAGTACGTTTACTTATGATCTTTCTGAAATGGTTTGGAGTGAGCGATCGCACAGCATGTTGATGAAGCATTAAATGATCAAAAACCGCGTGAAGTTCACCTTCGACACGTTGCACATGACTTTGCACGTTAAATATTGAAAAAAAGAACGCGTTGAATAGAGCTTCTTACAGGTAGAATATAAGTCACGAATGTCGGTGCCTCGGCGAGGTCTTTGTAGCTATTACATCTCCACACTTGAAGAAGGGCATAAGGTTTGTGAGACAATCGTATTCGAAGATCAAGTTTCTGTTTTTAATCTGTTTACTCTAAAGTGAACAGGTAAAATTCTTGGCAGTTGAGTCATTGCATTTGTAGATATTTGCACGAATCCGATCAGGAACCTTTAATTTCCCTAAAGAAGCAGAGACCCCTGTAATCTGCATTGGCCCGGGGACAGGTGTGGCACCTTTCAGAAGCTTCTTAAGCTGGCGGTGAGGATTAGCCTTGTAATTCATAATGTTTATAACACAAGTCAAACATGTTAAGCAAATTGAATAAAGCAGGATTTACAGGGATAACACTCCTTCAGATTCAGTTTTGTTTTTCGGCTCTAGAAATTCAACAAAAGATTACTATTTCTCTGATGAATGGCCCAATCTACTTCATACAAGAGTTCTCACCGCCTTCAGCAGGGACCAAGAAGAGAAGGTAAGTGTTAGCCGTTTGCAAACGAATATAAACTCAATATTTTGAATCATCAAGTTGAATCATTTTTTTTGCTCTAGCTTGCTCGAAGCAAATAAAGTCAATAAGTAGGCTCCTGGCAAATATTAAAAAATAAGAAGAACAGCTTGATTTAAAACAAAAATTGCAGATCTATGTCCAAAATGTGATTGCGAAAAACCCACAAATAATCTCGGAGCTGCTGCGGGAGAAGAAAGGTTGGAGAATCTTAGCTATGCTCTTCATACTGCCACTCACGAAACCAATCATTTACTTTTTCATTACTCCGACATTTTGTTTTTACTACGATGCGTAATCGTTGAAGAATGTTCAACTTCAGGAATGGTTTTCGTGGCAGGTAGTGCAGGAGCAATGCCCGAAGCTGTCGTTGATATATTGAACCGGATTGGTGCGAAGTATGATGCTACTGAGCCACTAGTTGATTACTTGGAAAAAAGAGGAAGAATTCAGTATGAAACATGGTCTTAGTCAAGGAACGAGTTGATTGTTTACTCTTGATAGTTTCATATTCTGTTTGTGTGCGATTGTTTACTCGTTCATAGAAGCGACAGCAGTTAGTGTTGATAAATTTTATCAATTTTCATAAGAAATTACATAATATTGGACAAGATGATGGACCGGATATGATGTACATCTGAGAAATTAGAGAAATGGAAGATTATCTCTTCCCTTATAGAGCGAAAGCAACGAAGGTGGCGGTCAAAGCCACGATAGATGAGACAGTTGAGATTCCGTTGTAAAGGGGATCGAACATTCTGTTGTTACCGAAAGGAGAAGTGGTGGATCCTAAAATGATATTTTTTAATATTTATATTTTTTTAAAAGTTATTGATTGAAGTTTGATTTCAAAAGTACTGCCATAACCTCTCAAATGCTTCTGAAGCAGTCAAATGTTGACTTTTCTTTCTGTTAACTCCTTCCGTCGTTTTTCCTCTTATCTCACATTTCTACGTGACTTTTAACAAAGCAAACAAACAAAACTTCGTAGAAATTAAAATATTTTTCATCTCACTCACCGTACTGACCGTATTGGGTATTGTATCCATTGGTGGTGTATCCGTTGTTTGAGTATCCGTTGTTTGAATAACTTGGTTGTTGTGTGTAAGTTTGTCCATAACTGTTCTGTCCATAACCAGTGTTGCTGTATGTGTTTCCATATCCGGTGCTATAAATTCAAATTAATCACCACAAACTGTGCTTCTTAATTACTTGTATTGGCTGAATCTCATTGGAAGGTTGTTCTGTGGAGCTGGAGCCTGCTGCTGAGGTACGAAGTTGCTGGGTTGTTGCTAGAAAATATTATATTATAAAGACTGAAATGGAAGGTTATTGCTTACAGGGTTGTACTGTTGGGCGAAAGCCATGCAGATGACTGCTAAGACCAAGACAACAATTGAGGATTGCATGATTTCTGAAAAAAAAACTTGAAATGAGGATCAATCATCTAAAATGGGATTAATGATTAAATTGAATTGAAGATTTGAATTGATGTTAAGAAAATGTTCCGGAATCTTTTATACTCTGGGGTCATGGGGGAGGAGCTCGAAGTTTGGAGTTGAGACGGCGTATGAATGGGTGGAGCGTCAGATGCCATTCCAGCCTTTTCTCTATTTACCTCCCAAATTATACACGAACAACACGTAAAATATTGAAAGATGATTGATTTCGAAGAGACAACAAGATGGCAAAGTGAAGACAGAAGAGGGAAAACTGCTGGCAAGAGGATGAAGAAGTCGTGAGATTATAATTTGTGGATCAATATTGACAAGAAATCAGTAACTACTAGCGAAAAAAACGAGAATGATGAAGAAGCACGGAAAACTTCATGGTTATTAACTGGTAGAAGAACGTATTAATCTCCCTAATTAGAGAGGTAAATGTGAGAGTTCTTGAGAAAGGGTGAATGAGAGGGACGAAGAGAGAGAGATAGAGACAGTACCAGTAGGTATCATTGGTATCTCAATGATGATGCTGAACTACTGATTCAGACAGCAATGATTCAGACGGAATTGTATTACCGGAACTGTTACGAAACGGAAAGAAGTTGACTACAGTTTCCGTATTGTTATGAATAGGTATTTACCCAATTTTCACAATCCTTACTTAGAAATATTTGTTTTGATATCCTTCACCCTCATGCGTATTTCGCTTGAATGCGTTCTCTCTTTTTTTTTCTTTTCGTTCAAGAGCCTTCACTTGTCTTCATCTCGAGAATTACCTTGTTCGAGCAAAATTCCCAAACTTTCTTGTTTTATTTCGCAGATTGAGTCGAAATGATTTTAATGAGAGAAAATGTAATTTGTAAACAAGAAAGGGAAAGTACACGAAGAATACACGTGTTTGAAATCTAGAATTCAAGGAAATAATCAAACACTCCGATAATGAAAGGAGCAGGAAGGAGTGAAAGAGAAAAGAAGATGAGAGAGGCAGATGGTTCATGAAATCTGTTCGCAGTGTTCCCACAGGACACATTTTTTCGCATCTTCGGCAGAAAGCTCATGATACCCGTGACGAACAAACAGAAAAAATGAATCTGAAGAAGTTCTAAACATGAGAAATTAAACTTTTTTGTTTGATGAGCCCTTCAATTATAAAACAATTAAGAAAGTTCAAACATTTATTTGAAATTTGCAATTGTAACTACCAAAACAGTTATTTCAATCGAAAATGCTTGCAACCTAAAGTAAAGAAGATGGTAATCTGTTAACTACGTTGTATACATGTATGTAAACAGTACAAGTTATTACTTTTAAAACAAACGAAGTGTTACTTAGCCAAATATGGCAACTGACGTCTTTACAGTTTGGTCTCTTCTCTCTGTTTGAATTCAACATTGAACTTATGAGTAACTTTAAAGGCTTTGTTAACTCATTTTTACGAGGAAATCTAAATAAGACAACGATGTAGATTAATACCATACAAGTTACTGTAATTTGTTTGATTTCTGTTGCTCAATGATGTTTGAATCGTCGATAAAAGGCATTTCTCCAACAACCATTATGAATAGGATGGCTCCACAAGCCCACATATCAGCCTTGAGAAGTACTGTTGAACTGGAGGGGAATGTTAACTTTACCTTCTTACCATCATACTTCTCGTTCATGAGAACTTCAGGACAACAGTAAGCTCTACTGCCACAGAAAGATGAACACTCTTCATTCTGAAGTTGAATAGCATGTTATTACGTTACGTGCAACAGAAACAACATCCTGAACAAATCGAGCAAACCCGAAATCTCCTATTTTAATGTTTTCTTCTCTGTCAAGAAGTATGTTCTCACATTTCAGATCTCTGTGAATGATGTTTTGTTGATGAAGGTACTGAAACATCATCCATGAACTGCTTGCTACCAACAAATCATTACGCCAACTCCTTCAATTAGTTGTCGGAATGGAATTTTCGCATCAGTTTCTGAGTACGTTTCAGTTTGAACTCTTTCAAGCAAAGAGCCATTCTCACAAAACTCTTGGACAAACATTACGCGATTTTTATGTTCCACAATCTCAAAGCTGAATGTCAAAGCTGTCAAGCGTTGGCTACCTACCTTATGAGTTTTGACGAGACAAGGGTGATTCATAAGCTTACAGATCTCTATCTCTCTTTTCAAAAATCTGGTGGTTGTTGGTGTTAAACGGCTAAAATCGTATATTAGATTGAGGAATGAAATTTTACTTTGATTTGATGACTTTCACAGCCCATTCTTTACCATCACAGACACCCACATAGACTTGGGAGAATGTTCCTTTGGCCAGAGTGCCTTTAAGGAGAATTCCATGTTTGATTGTTATATCATCAACTTAAAAAACTAATTTTTTGATAAGAACAATGAAAACTGAGATTAAACCTTTCGATCTGTCTGCTTTACTGGCTGAGCTATCCATTTATGCTCAAAAGCCGTTCATGCACGACCGGGTCTACAATTTGATTCTTGAGAATGATTTACCAAGGCTTCTCATACAAACAGCCGCTCTCTCCAATCATGTCCCTCGAAAATGACATGACTGTTAAAAAACTTTAACAGTCTTGAAAATCCTCAACCTCTTCCTGAGTTTCTTCGTTGACTTCCAAGATGAGAGGCGGGCGCTAATGAGTATTAGACCTGAACATAGATAGAGCTCCCTATAAAAAGTTTTTTCTTATCAATTATCATTCCTTATGCAAGTGAGAAGTGAAGTAGCTCTGTGTTTTATTTATTATTCCGAATTCATTACAATCATGTTTTATTACAGGATGTTGCGTTACATTCTCGCTTCTGCCGTTTTGGCAGTTGCTGTTTTGGCAAAAGAGAGCCCAGATCCAGAAGTCAACATGACTGTCGTAAGTTTATCAAATCCGAACCATCGTAGAGTTTTGTGTTAAAGCCTCAAATCATCAACAGATGGGGATATCCTTCTGAAATTCACTATGTTTTGACCAGTGATGATTACAATTTGGAAATCCATCGCATTCCTTACGGAAAGGGTAAGTCGTGCTTCGGGAAACAAGAGATGTAAGCAATGTTCAGGACAATCCCCCGGAGGCAACAGACCTGTTGCTTTCCTTCAACATGGGCTCGAATGCTCTAGCTCATCTTGGGTTACAAATCTTCCTGAATTTTCATTAGGTATTAAACTTTGCCCTAAAAAGAATAACATAAAAAATTAATTAGTGACTTTATTAGTCTATTAAAGGAGTTCCGGCTGAAAATTTTAATTTAAAAACGATTTTGATAAGACTCAGAAACTTTATATTGGCTGTTCTGGTCCTCTGTAGTGATAAGACAGAAGTGCTTTTCAAAGTATCACAAAGATTTCATAATATACAATACCACAAATAAGATTAACCTGTTTAAGCTTATCTCTTGGCTGATGCTGGATACGATGTGTGGCTTGGAAACAGTCGTGGTAATCTCTATGGTATGACCTCTCCTTCTCTTGATCCCAAGAAGCACGAATTCTGGAAGTTCTCGTAAGTTGTTATCATTTTTATCAGATTTCAATGCATTTCACGAAGATTATCCGGTTCACTGATAACTTTTATCAGAATTAGAGTCTATTCTACTATAATGCATGAAAATAATAATAAACTTTCAGATTCGATCAAATGATCCATTATGATATTGAAGCTTCCATTGATTATGTTTTGCAAAAGACAAACCAAAAACAAGTTTATTACGTTGGACACTCCCAAGGAACTTTGATTATGTTCGGAAAGCTGGCTAGCAAGCCTAGCTTCGCCAGCAAGGTTGCTGCAACACATGACTTATGAGTTAAAGAGTTCATTTGAAGATCAAGCAATTCCATGCTTTGGCTCCAATCGGAACTGTTGCTAACATCACTGGATTCTTGAGATACATCGCTGACGATCTTTATCTCGAGACTGAGGTTCACCTAAAAAGACGTTGAAGATTTGCAACCTCAGAATTCTAGGTTCTTCTTGAACTCATTGGAAGAGATCAATTCTTACCAGAAACCGGATTCGTTCACACCATCGAGAGAAAATACTGTTACGATGTACGTTGGCATACTATTAAACCCTTCATAAGATTTTTTTCCAGCCTTTCGCTGAAGAGGCTTGTGATAACGTTCTTTTCTCAATCTGTGGTCCAAACAGTCATCAACTCAATGCCGTAAGTTCAGTTGTCATAAGAGAGATATGATTCTGTTTGTAGACTAGAACTGAAGTCTTCCTCGTCGACGAACCAGCAGGTACTTCATCCCAAAACATTCTTCACTGGGCTCAAATGGTCCGTTCCGGCAAAGTTCAAATGTATGATTATGGAGAGAAATACTTGAACGAGTTCCATTATGAAGGAAAGGTATGCGAACAAAACTAGTATGAAGAGTATAATCGGCTCTTTTACAGTCTACCCCACCTCTCTATGACTACACTAAGATCAAGAACGTTCCCATTTACCTTTACTGGTCTGATTACGATTGGCTCGCTGATGAGGCTGATGTTCAAAACTACCTCTTGAAGGCCCTTAACCCTCAATGGCTTAAACAAGTTGTTAAGCTCGATGATTTCAATCATTTGGACTTCATCTGGGGAGAGAGAGCTGCTGGTGAAGTTTACAAGCCATTGATGCAATGGATGAAAGCCGCTTAATAAATTTGAAATTGTGTTTTTTAATTAATAAAGTTTCCAAATCACAGGTTTTTCAAAACATCCACTGAACAACAATTCAGCTCTCAGTTCAGTTGACATATAGGGAGTTATGCAAATTAGCCTGTTGTTTATGAGTTTAGAAAGCCAATAGCCACTTCCCCCCATTAGCATCTGTGAATCGAGATTTTTATTCTTGAAAAAAAAAACGTTCGAATGCGGAAATCTAGAAGGAATTCAATAATCCGGAAAGAATCCCTGAAGGTAGCGCAATTCTGTTTAAATGGAATATCTGAAAGGAACGGAAGAGCTTAATTCCGTATTGAATTGACTCAATTTTGCCGTTTTTTTCTCCGGAAAATGAAAAAGAATCACTTCAGATCAATGTGGGAGGATGGGCCACGATTTGGACATCAAAGGCTTCTGGTGATCTGATATTTAGCTGCAGAAAACTACAAAACGTCAAATAAGGTCAGCTTTCAACGACGTTTCGTTGGCTTTTCATCTATCTCAGATTACTTCAAGGTTAGTTCAACATTTTTTTTGTTCCTCTCTTGTCCATTTTTCTTGAGTTACGTGACATTTCATCTGAAATTGACATCCGGCTTGCGGGTTGTTTGAGCAAATGCGACCACCCCTCTTCGATGCTGTCTCTATCCACCCCCTCAGGGAACGCTTCATTTTCTTTCGTTTTACTTACTAAAACGGGAGAAAGCCGGATATCTGGTTGAACTGCTGGAGGACATATTGTTTGATTTAGCCATTGGTGTCATTGTTCTTCAAAAAAGGAAATGGACATATGAGCTGATGAGCGTCTCTCAGCCTTCTCATTTACTTCCACCTTCTTCAGCTTACAACAATCTTTGAAACTTCAGAATCTCATTGCGTTCTCGTTCTCATACAAATTATATTCTAAACATAGAATATCTGATTTAGAACTTCATTTTATTATTTTCATTACTTATTCATATGTTTAATCATTGATTTCTGTAGCTGCGGTATATATGTTCTAAAATCTATTTTCTCCTCTTCGAAACCTTCGTTTTGTGTTTGTGCGGCTGAGAGAAAGCTGTGAGGAAATCACACTTGCCTCCAGGTGCAAACATGAAAAAACTTCTTTTTTTTTGTTTGTTGTTGAAAGGTTTCTTCCAATTTTGCTTTTATCAACCATATAGGGTTTTAGATGTCGGTTTTATGGATCTCATTGACTTCTTTATGAACACAAATGAAACCTTTCAAATTCTTCAGCGGCTGCTTCTATTCCGATAAATTTCATTTTTGAAACAAATTTTTCTCTTTTTTTATCATCCAACGAGGAGATCATTAATTTTCCAAAGTTGGAAACTGAGAAAGAGCTTCGGAAATAGGACCAAATAGGTCGTTCGAAGCATGAGTTCTTCTACTTGTCTACTCGTTTACGACTTCTGCTTTTGGACTTGAAGAAGACAATTAGAGACATTCTTGTTCTTCTTTGTAGACATGAAGCCTTATGAAGCTACCTCTCTCATTCCATTTCTCTCTACCATTCCATCTTTTTCTTCTTTCTATGTCTTTCTCTCTCTCTTCATTTCTTTTTGTTGTTTTCCCTTTATATAGTTATGCATTCATTTCATAGTCCACCCTATGCTCTCCACTATATGAATATCTCTTTAAAATAGTTCTTTTCCATTAATGGAGAAACCATATGTTTCATCAAAAACCCTTATTAGAGTCGTTTTTCTTTCATCATTTTCTTTATTTCATTCAATCATTAGAAAGTCATCAAGTTTCATCAAACATTCGTTGAGCAAGAAATCAAAAATGAACAAGAAGGTGTCAAATTCAGAATGACTGCCACATCAATCTGATAGAAAAAGTCTAAATAAGTGAATTAAGGGAACGAGGGAATGAGTGAGGGAGAGAATTCATACACATACACACACACACACCCTTAGAGAAAGAGAAAGAGAGGGTGGTGAGAGATCTAGAAAGAAGTTATAAGAGAAACAGAATGCTTACAAGAGAACATTCAAAAGAAAAAAAAGCCATTTGAGAGGGAGAAGAAGAGAGAGAGAGAGGGAGAGGGAGAAAGTGAGTGAGGGAGAAAATAAGAAAGTTTGCGAGCATAAAAGACAAAGAATAAACAAGTAGAGTTTTCCAATTTCTGGATAATAGGACATTTGCAGTGAAAAAGAGAAAATGAAAGAGAAAGAGTCAGAACAGATTAATAATTGATAGAAAACACGAAGACAGACAACCTTCACAGCTTTCATAGAGGGGCAAACGGTCGACATGAAGCCTATTTTAGTTAAAGTTTTAAATGCTTTAAGAGCAGGTTGTATGTGAAGAATGATTAGAAAATGAAAGCTTAATGGCTGTAATTGTCTGCAATTTTTCATTTTGTTCTTTGTTAAAACGACTTGATTCAGTTACTCTCATCTTACACTCGTCTCATCTACACCATCACCCACCCTACACCCCCCTCCACTCCTTTTTGCCTAAAATGTCATTTCTTGGTCTTGTCTATCAAGTGAAATTTCTGCTCATTTGCTGAGAAAATGTAGATGAGACGTCGTCAGAATCAGTGAATCTGAAAATTTCTTCTGTGCTTTTCACGTCCTTGTCTCATCTGTTTATCTCTCGTTGTTCTGGATGTGTATGAGTGTGTGTGTCTCAACTGCCCTTAAGGGTAATGTTAAGAAAGCATGTTCATGATGATAGTATGTCTATTGTTTTGTTTACACACATATTAGTTTATAAGCTGTATTCATGAAAGACAAATATGAAAAATGCTTCTTCTTCTTCTTCTTTTACTCTTTTTTCTCTGTTTTTCCTCTCTTTTACAAAGATTTGTCTCGTGCAAATCCATGTTAACTGAGTCGAAAGGAAATAAGCTCGTTTTCAGCTTGTTACGTGAAATTTACAGATGTTTTCAAAAAAAAAACTTCTGACACTAATTGCCTTTATAATATTTTTGTTTTTTTAAACTTTCTTTTTAATTGTAAAAATGCAAATGAACTGTGCACAACCGACTTCGTCGCCCATTGACCTCAAAATTGAATTTAAGACGCGCCGAAGCTTACGTGAACATGTTCAACGCGTGCGTGTCATCATTACATTAGCATATGTTAATAGAAATTTGAATATTCTAATTAAAATATATACATTTTTTAAATAGTTATAAGTTATATATAGTTATCAGACAATAACTATATGACTCAGACATGTTTCAAATAATTTTTTTCCTCGTAATTATATTCCTTTTGAAGTAATGTCATACTCGGCTTTTTCTCTTCAACAACCACATTTCCGAAGAGCAATGAGAGACAGAGAACATGAATATGAGAAGTAAAGAGAGAAAGAGAAAGAGAGAGAGAGAATGGAAGCAGATTTTGTGAAATTATAGAATTGATCATCAAAAATATAATTTCTTATAGTTAATTACATATTTCTCTTTTCCACATCTATTTCCCTCTTCAAACTCCTTCATATCCTACTCTGCCCTCTCTCTCTCTCTCTCTCTTTCACCCTCTCTCTCTCTTCAAATCGTCTTTTTAATTTTTTGGTTCCAAAATTATAGTCTCGTGCTATATAAGGAGAAGCCATGAAAAAGCTGGATGAAGCTTTTTGACTAATTTTTTTTGATTTTGTGATTTGTTGGGCATCGAGATACGACGAGAGGGATAAAGAGTATGAAGAACAAGGGAAGAGTTGGTTTCAGTTAATACATTTTCTTTTTCTTTTTTTTTGTTTTCCCACAATTAGAACAACTGACGTCAAGGGAAAATCTTTATGTTTGTTATCATTTTCTTATTATTTTTTCTTTTTTATATTACAAGAGAAAGTGAAAGAGAGAGAGAGAGAGATTGAGAGTGAGAACAGGAGTGAGAGAGAGTGAAACAGAGAGAGAAAGCATATTTTTCATTTTCCCTCGTAAAAATTTATTGAAAATTTGTTTTTTCATCTCAATCCTCTAAATGTTGATAGATTAGATTGATGATAATCTGTTGAGCTACAAATCTTAGAATTGCATTTCTTGCTCATTAAATTTCATTTTTGACTGAAACAACTCAAAAAATGGCATTCACAAACACCATCACAATGCTTACATAGACGATGAAGATGATGATGATGATGATGACGATGATGATATGATATGATCCCCATGCTGCTCATCCCATTCTTCTGTATACGAGATAAAGAATTAAATAATATTGTTCCATCAACACAGCAGCATGATGAAGTACGTTTTATGGTCTAGTGGGACCGGTCGTTCTGGAAATAACTAAAGCTGTTCGGGTGGTTTTCGTGCACTTTTCCATCCGGGACCAATTGTATTGCTCGAGGCAACAATTTTGTATTTGCCGCTTGGATAAATCTTAACTAAATTGATACTTTTTCGCCTCTCATTCCTTTTTTCTTCCATTATTTTTATAAAATTCTAACAGTGTGTGCCTGGTTGGCTGCTATTCATTTTTGTTTTTTTCAGGCATAATGTCGTCTCGACTTCATGTTCAACGCCATCCACTTCGCTATCAGGTAGGGTTAGACTCTAACACGAAAGTTCACCGGAAGTTGTAAACCCATTTCTAACTTGAAAGTTCTTTTTCTTCAAATCCTTTGTAATCTTTTTGGTCACTTGTCATGTCATCTGACGCACTTGAAACTCCATGATCAGGCTTGTAATCTTTCAAACACAAAAGAGAAAGAGCTGAATCGTCTTAAAAGACGCTTTTTCCACCCCCTCTTTCCCTCTTCTAAGATAAGTCAAAGGGTAGAGCAGTCTCCTTTTTCAGTTAAATGACAAGCTCTCGAAACACAAAGTATATGATAAATCAACAAATAAAATGTAAAAAAGTGGTTTTTCTCCTTCTCTCTCCCTGTTCCTCCATCTCTCCCTATCTTCACACTCTCTCTCCCAGGCAACCTGACACTCCAATTGGGTTTTCAAACAAAAAATATTGAAGAGAAAGAGAAAAATGGAAGAAAGTAGGAAAGTCATCTGGCCTCAATTTAGTGACTTGACGAACTTCCAGACAACGACATGCCATCAGTGCTTATTGTGTTAGGCTTAGACTCAAGTTTAAAGCTTTGAACTAAAGCTGACCATATACAGAGAATATGCTGATGAGTAATCCTTGTGCCAGAAAGACATTAAGAAAATTCATTTTCTCATAAATTACTTGAAAGCCATGAGTTTGGCCTCCAGCACTTCTTAAACAATTTTTCAATGAAAAGAGGATTTCATGAGATTTTTGACCGATGTCGCCAGCGTCTGATAGCCGATTGGCGAACTCTTGAGTCCACTACTCTCAGAAGGAAACAAGAGAGGGAAAAGCAGCAAGAAAAGGAGTGAGAAAGAGAGACGAACGAAAGGATACTAGCTCCCTCGAGAAGGTCTCTCTATTTTTCTCATAACTCCTCAGTTGTCATGCTATTTTCGCATCAACTTCAGTCTTCGCCTATCCATTGGGCTTCTCTAGGCCTAGCGTTAGACCCACCCTTTCTTCGTTTCTGTTTCTCTCTCAGTCTCTTCTTGCAAACTTCATCCTCTCTATCTTACTTTTCATCTCTCTGTCTCTTTGTCTCTTTTCCCTTCCCTCTTCCTCACTCGCTTTTAGTCTTCCTGAACTAAACTGCAGCAGTTGGAAGACGTAAAAACGAATTTTCTGTATTCACGTGTTTCCCAGCGTGTCAAACTCAGTAATCACGTCTTTATATTTCGAAATATAGAATGGAAGTTTTTCGAAAGCTTTTGCCTCGTCGTTCACGCGATGAATATGCCTTTGAATTACTCAAAAGCACCTCTGCCCAAGATTTCCTGAGCTCAGCTTCATCATCTTCTCGTGGTTCTGAGCTTCCCCGCTGTTATTCAAACTATGATCATATAAAGCTAGAAAGGTCTGTATCGAATAGAGGAGGTAGATGCTTGACAGCCTCCCCAGCGGCACTGCTAACACCGAAGGTAAGCTGAAATTCTCAAACATGATCTTTTGATTTTCTTTTCTCATTTCCTCTCCATCAAACCGAATCTGTTTATCGCATGTAAAAACTTTTAACCATACTTTGCGAATTTTTTCATCCTCGTTGAGATTTCTGTCATGAAATTTGTAAAAAAATATGTTTTTCGGAACATTTTCTTATCCATACGATTGGTAAACAACATAAATTTTTTAATAAAAAATGACCAAAATGGCATCGTGCTCTCTGAAGATTCGCCCACCCGTCCCCCCCCCCCCCCCCCCCCCCTGGCTTCGCCGCG